CTCCCAAAGATGCGGTAGGTCTTATTTTCAGGGGATGTCTTATTTTTCCATGAAGAAGAATACGGTACACATTTATTGTTAAATGAAAATAAAGGAAATTTATTACCTGTATATGGTACGGTAGTACGGTAGTTGTCAACACAAACCAGAAAAACTGTGAATCCTGCAGTATCAAGAATTTACTCATTTATTCAATGACAATCATGTCATCATCTTCTGGAACATCATCATAACAATCCAATTCCTGAATTTCCTGGTGAATTTCTTGTGACTCCATTTCTTTCAGAATCAGTGGACCAAATCTCTCATGTTTAGCCTAGGGGGGCCTTATTTTTGGGGGGATGCCTTATATTTCACTCAGAAGGAAACCTGTAAGTAGGTTTTATTTTCGGAGGATGTCTTATTTTCTGGGAAACACGGTACATTCCCTCTCATATCCATCCCCCCTCCTGTGCCGTGCCAGCATGGCCAAGGGTGAACCTGAGGAGGGGCGGTGAAAGATTAAAGACAGGCAGGAGAATACAGCTGGGGCTCAGGGATCTCCCATGCATAGATGAGGACACAGAAAGACCCAGCCTGCTAGCCAAAGCTCTATTTTACAGTGAGATCAAAACAAGGGTAGTGCTCAACATGTTTACAATGTTCTTGTGAGTTTCACCTTGTTTTGGCAGCACTTGCTGCACCTCCCACAACCCATTAGCTACCTAGGAAGGAGCAAGGGAGGGCTATAAGGTCAAGCTTAATTGTGCTAAGAAGGCTCTGCCCTCCAAGCTGGGACTTGTTTGTGGCCCTGCCACCCATCAGTCCGAGGCTTAACCTTATAGCTGCACCCTACACCCTCCCTCTGCAAACAAGCTTCAAACCTTTGTGACTTCCCCTTGTTGCCTTTCTTGGGGGGAGAGGGGGACTCTGCTGGTAAAGAACCTACCAGATAATCCAAGATAACCTCCCTATTGTAAGAGCAACGATTAGTAGCCGTAATTGCATCTGCCATGTAACTTTACATATTCAAGGTCATGACACCAGGAGGCAAAGGTCCTGAGACCAAAAGCTTTCCTAGCACAGGAGGGCCAGCCAGCCTGCATCTCAGGAAAGCTATCTTCTGTGACTATTTTTCATCCATCAAAGGATTATTTCTGTTTTATCAAAATCTTGCCCTCCTTCCAAATTGCTTTCTAGCCACTCTTGACTTATAATTGCAGCGGTTTCCTTAGCAACAACTGGAGCTGGCCAACCTCTTTCTGATGCAGACCACTCCAGTATTTTTCCACAGAGTGCTGCCCATAGCAACATCAAGAGAGAGAGAGACAGACTCGTAGATAGAGAGCAGGCAGACAGCTCTTAGGGAGGGGATAGGTTGCGGGGGGCGGGGGGTGAAGGGATTGAGAGAAAAGAGAGAGAGCTCATGGACATGGACAACAGTGTGGCCATTGTGGGGGTGGAGGGGCATGGGTGGAGCTGGTAGAGGGAATAAAAGGTAATGGAACAATTTTAATTTAAGAGAGGGAGGAGGAAGAGAGAGTTATCTACCTGTTATGAAAAAACCTCACTATGGATTCCTCTTTGCTTCTCCAGCTCATGCTTTACCTCTGTCCTCTCTCTTGGCATCCCTGGCACTCCAGGCACACATTCATCATGGCACTCATGCCCCTCCTCTCTGATAGAACAAACCACACTTTCTCCCAGTCTTCCCTCTACCTCAGAACTGGGGCCCAGCCAGTAGGGCTCAGTGGTTGAGCGTTAATCTATGAATCAGGAGGACACGGTTCAATTCTCGGCCAGGGCACATGCCTGGTTGCGAGCTTCATCCCCAGTGGGAGGCTTGCGGGATGCAGCGATCAATCTTTCTATCTCATCATTGATGTTTCTATCTCTCTTTCCTTCTCCCATCCTCTCTGAAATCAATAAAAATATATTTTTTTAAAAAGCCTGAGCTCAGAACACATCTCCCTCAGGGAGCCCCTGTGAATCCCAGGCTGAGTTCCATGTTATCAAAATCGATTACCCTTAGCCATTGCACATACCTCATGCCAAGTACTCAGCCTGTGTCACTCCAAAACAGGACATGAGACCCCACAGGTAAAGCAGCGTCCATGCAACAAAGTCCTAAGGTGGCACCCAGCATTTATTCAGTCCTTCATGAGGGCTGTTTTCGTCCCTGCCACCACCACCTACATCAGGGTGCCTCTCTCCTCTGCCATTGGTCCCTCGCCCTCTGTGTGCCCAGCTGCTGGCACAGGAACTGAGTCTTGCAAACAGGACAGCCATCCCAAATTGTGAATAAACAAACTGGCAACAAACTCCACGGAATGCCCCCTGCCCCCAGGGCCCATCTCCTGGAGGGGAATGCAGAGAGCCTGGAGCCCTTCTTGGTAAAAAGTAAAAGCGACAGACCTCCAGATGTGTCGTTGGCCCTTCCTCTGAGCAGATGTGCCCTACAGAGGTGGAAGGTGGTTTCATTTAGGTCTGCTGGGTCCCTGAGTCACCTGAAGGAGGGCAGGATGATGCTTGCTTCTCGGTTGCTCCCTCCCTCCCTCTTCCTCTCCTACTCTCCCTTCTGGTCCTTCTGGCCTTGGCATCCACATGCACTACTCCCTCTGTGTTTCCGGGACTGTCACTGATAGTGTCCTTTAGCCTGAGAGGTCCACTGGCCTGGCCTGGAATCCCAACACCACTGAGGCTCTGTGGGGCATTGGGCAAGTCCCTGAGTCTTCCTGTACCCAGGCTCCTCATCTGTAGCAGAGGGGTCCCAATACTGTCCACCTTCCCCGGGGCTCCTCTGAGGACTCCCAGAGAGATGCAGGGCCAGTTGCTCAGCCCACTGCCTGTTGGGCAGTCAACATCCAGAGATGGAAGTTCTTAAGGAGGTACTCACTCTTCTTCCAGGACCCTAACCTTCACACCTTTTGGGTACACAGCTGATGTTGCAGTCCCAGGTCCGCTGTGCCTTATTTGGCCAGGTGGGACTATGGCTCTGACTGCCATGCAGAAATGGAAGCAAGGTGCAGGGGGTTATGGGAGTCATTGCCACAAGCAGCGCCACAGGAAACCCAGCATAGAGGGCAGGCAGCATAGGGATAAGCCTGGGATGAGCCATTGCAGAGCCCAGGTGCACATGTGTTAGGACACCTGGGTCTGACTGAGCTTGGGAAGGTTAGGGCCAAGTCTTATGCAGCACCAGGTGCCCTGGAACAGGACCACAGGCCCCAAAGGTACTCAGAGGTAATCTGGTTTGACTGGCAGCCCTGCTGGAGAGAAAAGTGCCCAGCCACATCCTGGAATAAGAAAGGAATCTGCTTAGGGGGCTGATCTTCCCTCTTTGTGATGGAGATCATGGCTCCCAAGAGGTGCTAAGGAGATAGGGACCTTGGCTTTCTAGTGTGAGAATGGGAGCCCTGAGTTCCAGCCCAGATGGGCAGCTGGGGAAGTAGCAGGACAGCCAGAGGTATAAGCAGCTAAAGTGTTCAAGGGAACACTCTGGTGGGTGTGGCTCATTTGGTTGGAGCGTCATCCCACGCATGAGGGGTCTAGGGTTTGATTCCTGGTCAGGGCATATACCCAGGTTTCAGGTTTGATCTGGATTCCTTCCCCCATTCAGGGGTATGCACAGGAGGCAACTGATCCATGTTTCTCTCTCACACTGTTCTCTCTCTCTCTCTCTCTCTCTCTCTCTCTCTCTCTCTCTCTCTCTCTCTCCCTCCCTCCCTCCCTCCCTCCCTCCCTCCCTCCCTCACTTTCTCTCTAAAATCAATAAAAACATATCCTCGAATGAGGATTTTAAAATAATAATAATAAATTAAGTGTTAAAAGTAAGAATTCCCACGTGCAGGGACAGTGGCTCAGGAGCTAGGCCCTGATCCAGGCTCCAGAAGACAGCAGTGGGGCCTACAGGAGAATGGTGGTCTTGAGGAGGGGGAGGTGCTAAATGACAGCTTTGAGCTTTGGTGGGGAAACCTCAGAGGGAATATGACCCTTCTGACTCCTTCCCAACACGCCCCACTGCAACTGCCCCTCTTTGCCTGTGTGCCCAGCACTTCCAGAGACCACTCCATCCCTGCGGCCCCACTGTCCTCAGCCCTCACCACAGGGCCCAAGTTTCCCCAGATGCATGGTTCCTGCAGACCCCAGCCCTCAGAGCCCTGGCTCTTCAGCTGCTCTGGGGACTGTGCCCTTCATCTGTGCTGTGGGGGTGGTAAGAGACTATCCCATCAGAATAGCTGGAGGACAGCTCTGGGCACAGACTAAGGGAGCCCCAATGCGTCTCTCACTATGTCTGGGTCAACAGTATTTTCCCCTCCTCCAATACATGCAAGAAGGACCTAGTCCCTCCTTCTGTCTGCCTCCCAAAGACCTGGAATCAATTCAATGACCTATTAAGGGCTGTCCTCAATTTGTGGTGGGCTTGTGGTCCCCGGGGCTGAAAGGGCAAGACCCAGGAGTGATAAAACCACCTTAGCCTCTCTTCCCCACTGGCAAGGGATAAGCCCTGTGAAACCCACCTGGCCTGCTCTCCATCCCTCCAGTATCCCTTAATGGCTATACCAATGCTGGCCAGTTGTCAGCTGCCAGGGTTAGCCTGATCACAGAGGGGTGGGTAGTCACCCCAAGTCACCCCAGAGTTCTGTACTGAGCTTCTGGCAGGGGCATCTGACCTCACTCTCAGACCCTTCTATGGCCCACTGGTCTCTGGGACTACCCAGGTGACTTCCCTGACCCCGAGTCCCCACCATGCTGCCAGAGAACTCAGGGCCTTCAATCCTGCCTGCTGTCCAGACCACTATCTTCAATGTTTAACCCAATTATTGCTAGGGGGTCCCAGAGTTTCCTGCAGAACCAACCAACCATTGTTCGTGCCAACCAGCCCAGAGGATTTCATAGCCCCCATGGACCCTGTCCCTACCCTACCCCAATGTTGACTTGGAATCCCATTGTTCTTCCCCAACCCTGTTCCCAGCAGACCCTTCCTTTAATTGCCCACAGAAGAGACGAAACTCAGCTGAAACATTCAATGATGTTTATTGAAGAGAAACATTTACTGAATCCATTGAAGAAGGGGAATTACAACACAGAGAGGAACTTCAACGGCCACTAGAGCCCATAGGTCACACCCCCTGCTCCTGGGGTCCCTAACGAGGAGCCTTAAATGTCCCCCACACTGTGGCCCTCCTTCCATAGTCCCCCTCCCTGAGGGCCCTTTGGCTGGACTTTGTAGGACCATGGACACAGGTGATGTCCACTCACTGCAGGGCTCCCCGCCCCCTCCGCTCTGGACGACATGTTGGGACCTGGCCCTACCCTGTGGCCTGCACTGAACAGACACAAGATACTGGAGAAAACAGCAGGGGACACTCGAGCATGCTGAGGAAACTGAGTCACAGGGAACAACAGGGTGGCATATCAGAGCACAGTCCCCGTGGAGCCTCCAGGAGCCGCCTTCTGTCCCTGGTCCATTTTTTCCTGCCACAGGTCACCGGGTGAGCGCCAGACGCGCCCTGGTCCGCCCTTCTCCTCCGTTCTTCTGGGCTCAGGCTCGGGGTCTCCGAGGTGGGTGATGTTGGCGGTGGGGAGGGAAAAACTGCTCAGAGAAGAACACACACATCACAAGCACAAGCAGCAGTTGGCCTAAATGTATACTGAGAAAGCAGAGGCTGAGCTCACGACACTGGACGAGAGCTGGCAGAGCCGTGGCTGGCAGTGGGGCTCACAGCATGTGCCGGGGCTGAGAGGTGGCTGCCCCGGGCAGGGTCGGGGGAGAGGCCAGGACACCCACCTGGGTTCACACACACCAAGTGGTACTGCACAGACTCATGGTCTGTTTGTGGGCTGGTGGGAGGATGATTACTTGGCACGTGGGTCCCTATGGGGCTATAGAGAAATGAGTTGGGGCCCCCCAGGGGATGGAGGATGGGGGTCCCCAAGAGTGGCACCCGAGATGGGCTCTAAAGTCTCCCAGTTCCACGCGGGTGGCAGATGTCTTCAGGTGCCCCTCTCCTAGGCTGAGATGGGCTGCTCAGCGGTGCTCCCAGGCCAGCTGCCCAAGTTGGCAGAGGCTGGGCAGGGGCTGAGGCCAGGCGTGGCGCTCCCTTGTGTGGGCACCTCTCCCCATCCCATTGGGTGTCAAACATGGTTATCTTGGTGACTTGGAGGGCTGATGGAGGTGATCAGGGCCCCTTGGGAGTAGTGGGGGGCCAGGGGACAACGCAGACCCTTCCCTGGGCCTTGCTCCCCATGAGGGGTGAGGTGGCCTTCCCCTGCCTCCAGGGCTCTGCTGCCCCAGAGAACAGGAGGCCACCGGGCCCTCCACGCTTACTCGAAGGAGGGCTCAGAGGGAATCATCTCCCCAGACCCATCCTCACTTCTTGACTCCTCCGGTAAGAGAATGAGCCCCTCCTCATGGGGCTCCTTGGCCTCCTCCTCTTTTTCCTGGAGCAGGCCCTCTGAGTCACAGCCAGGACCACCTGAGCCCACCCCCAAAGCAATGCCCATGTGGGCAAGGGAGGGCCCTGCCTGATCTAGACCTGCAGGAGCCAGAGCATTCTCATCTCCCTGAATGGTAGGGGAGGTCTTGGTGGTGTGCTCAGGGGCAGGGTCTGCCCCAGTGGCATCACTGGTTTCAGGAGCAGCCTCATCAGGATTGGCAGTGGCAGGACCCGCCTCAATGTCCACTTCCTTGGCCAGAGTGGCCTCGGCACTATCTTCCTTGGAAAGGGCAGCCTGGGCTGCATCTTCATTGGCTGTGGGGGCCTGGCCAACATCTTCATTGGCTAGAGCATCCTGAGCTGCATCTTCATTGGCTGGGGCGGCCTGGCCAACATTTTCATGGGCTGGAGAGGCCTGGACAGCATCTTCGTGGGTTGTGGCGGTCTGGGCTGCATCTTCATGGCTTGTAGCGGTCTGGGCTCTATCTTCATGGGCTGGGGCGACCTGGCCAACATCTTCATGGGCTGGGGCAGCCTGGGCAGCACCTTTATGGGTTAGGGTGGCCTTGGCATTAACCAGTTCTCTAACGTCCACCCGGACGGGTTCTTCCACTTGAAACTGCTGACTCATAGTCGGAGTGGCCTCGCATGCCTCTGACAGCCGAATGAGCCGAAGCAGCTCCAAGAAGCTAGGTGGTTTATTCTCCACTTGCATCCTCTGCAGCTTGCTCTGGAGCTCCTTACTGAGGCGGCCCTCCATCAGCAGCTGATGGACCCGTGCCTCATCCACCAAGCCTGGGTGGATGCCCTCCTTGTCCATGGCTGTGTGCAACAAGTCTTCCAGGCGAATCGCAAAATCAAAGAGAGTCTCCTCGGGCTGCTGGACACAAGTCACAAACTTCAGCCTCAGAATTGTCCCGGGTATCCTGTTTTTAAATGCAAGATTTACGGCTGCCAGGTATTCGTGAGCAGTGAGCTTAGGTCTTTCATTCATGAAGGCTTCTATGAAATTCTGTACGGGGCCGTGCAGGCTCTCCACCAGCCGCCGCCGCTGCTCCCTTTCCGATATGTGGCGCCACAGGTACATCATGTCGTTGGCCTCGTCGTGCCAGTTCTCAAAGTTCACCTGCACGTAGCTTGGCTGTTTGTTGTCAGGACAATCTTTCAGTTGCAGGTAGGCTAGATTTTCCAGCACAGGCTTCACGGCCTGATTCCATTGGTCGATCCAGGCATCCTCGGATGCATCTCGTGCCTCGGCTACACCTCCTGCCTCGGCTGCACCTGCTGCTTCGGCTGCACCTCCTGCCTCGGCTGCACCTGCTGCTTCGGCTGCACCTCCTGCCTCAGCTGCACCTCCTGCCTCGGCTGCACCTCCTGCCTCGGCTGCACCTCCTGCCTCGGCTGCACCTCCTGCCTCGGCTGCACCTGCTGCTTCGGCTGCACCTCCTGCCTCGGCTGCACCTCCTGCCTCGGCTGCACCTCCTGCCTCGGCTGCACCTCCTGCCTCGGCTGCACCTCCTGCCTCGGCTGCACCTGCTGCTTCGGCTGCACCTCCTGCCTCGGCTGCACCTCCTGCCTCGGCTGCACCTCCTGCCTCGGCTGCACCTCCTGCTTCGGCTGCACCTCCTGCCTCGGCTGCACCTGCTGCTTCGGCTGCACCTCCTGCCTTGGCTGCACCTCCTGCTTCGGCTGCACCTCCTGCCTCGGCTGCACCTCCTGCCTCAGCTGCACCTTCTGCCTCAGCTGCAGCTAATTCTTCACCTGGAGCTTCTAACACATCTTCAGCCTCTGCCTCATCTGCTGGCTTTGCCTCTCCTTCAGCTTCCTGCTCACCTGTAGCTCCTACCTCACCTGCAGCTCCTGCCTCACCTGCAGCTCCTGCCTTGCCTGTAGCTTCTTTCTCATCTGGAGCTTCTGCCACATCTTCAACTGAGGCCACAGCTGCAGCTCCTTCCTCTCCTGCAACTTCCTTCTCCCCTGAGGCCCCTGCCTCATTTGCAGATCCTTTCCTATCTGGAGAACTTGCCCCACCCGGAGCCCTTGCTTCCCCTGCCAATCCTGCCTCACCTGGAACTCGCACCATATCTTCAGCTCCTGCCACACCTGCAGCTTCTGCCTCATCTGCAGCTCCTGCCTCATCTGCAGCTCCTGCCTCATCTGCAGCTTCTGCCTCATCTGCAGCTTCTGCCTCATCTGCAGCTCCTGCCTCATCTGCAGCTTCTGCCTCATCTGCAGCTCCTGCCTCATCTGCAGCTTCTGCCTCATCTGCAGCTCCCTCCTCACCTAGGGCTCCTGCTTCACCTGCACCTCCAAGCCTCTGTGGGGCTCTTGCCTCACCAGCCAGGCCAGCCACCTCTCGCCTCTGGGGCTGTGCAGGGAAATCAGGTCTATCCTCTGAATCAAAGTCAAAGGCCTGAGGTAGGAAGAGCAAAACCCATGCCTCTCGATGCTTGCCTGGTATTTGTCGGGGGATCATTTTTCGGGTTATATTGTCATAAAACTCAACCAAGGCGACCTTGCAGTGTACCTCCTTTCTGAAGACATTGCCCAGCACTCGGTACCTGCCCAGGGGCCACAGGGAATCCTGCAGGATCACATGGATTTCTTCCACATTGCAGTCCAGAGGGATGCCCACGACTAGCACCGAGCGTTGTGAATCCACGCCCAGCCAGGTGCACCAGTCCCGCAGCAGCGTCAGCGCCATCTCCCAGACCTGGGTGGGGGTGGGGGGAGCAGGCGCGAGAGGAAAGGGGCGCAGACTGTTGCAGTCTCTGCTGAGGCAGCCTGGGAATGCAAATTGGGGAGGGGAGAGAAGAATGTTGGTGCCACACAGCCCACCCACCGCCTCCCAATCCAGTTCGCGCCCCCACCCCCCACTGCCGCATAATTCCCCACTGCACCTCTCACCTCCGCAGCAAGAAGACCCCCTTTGGTCTGGGCTTAAACTCCTGATCCGGCCCCAGCAGCTGGAGCCCCTCCTTCCATCATCTGCAAACCCCGCAGCCAGGAGTGCTCCTACCCTCTCTTTCCTAGAGCGGAGCTAGAGCTCTTGCGCTCTCTACTCTGACTCATGCAACCTGTAAGCCTGCTGCCGCAGAGCCCCAGCAGCCAAGTCCAGACCCCCTCCCCCACCCGCCAGACGCAGCGCCCCCGCAGCCAAGTCCAGACCCCCCATCCGCCAGACGCAGCGCCCCTGCAGCCAAGTCCAGACCCCCTCCACACACACACCCGCCAGACGCAGCGCCCCCGCAACCAAGTCCAGATCGCCTCCCCCACCCGCCAGAACCAGCCCCTCCGAAGCCAGGAGCCCTCTCCTCCCCAAACCCCTGCAGTCCGCTATCCCACCTCCCATCCCCTCCCCATCGGCACCCGCCCAGAGACCTCCCCTCCAACCCCACTGCCTTCCCAGCCCCGGCTGAGATTCCACCCCTACCCAGGGCGCCCCCTACCCAGGGCGCTGGCCAGAGGTAATTCTGGGGTCCAGCCCCAGAGAAGCCCCCAGTCACCTGCTGACTCTCTCCTCCTCTGAAAGCGCTGCCGCAGTGGTGGGGGTGACGGGGAGTACCGCCTGCAGGCTGCAGAGCCCACTGCAGATGCCACCGCGGAGCCCTGAAGCCAGAGAGTCAGAAGATCGTGGCCTAGGGCTGCGCAGTCCAGGGGTCTCCCGGGTAGCCCCCTCGGAGTTAAGGGCAGGTGAGCTTCCCAGAGCTTCTAGAAGCCCCGGGTAGATGAGGCAGACTGATCTCTGCGTCAGGATGCAGGGCAAATGACTGGCTCCGGAGAACACGTGAGGAGGCGTCAGTGTTGCCATGGCAATGGATTCATGAGGCAAGGCCTGGAGACTACACCCATTGGTCCTCCAGCCGCAAAATGGCCTCCATCAATAACTGCAGCAAAAATGGGGGTGCAGTGGAGGCTGAAAACCAGGCGGCAGGGGCCAGAGGAACCTAAGAACAGGTCCCCAATGCCCCTCTGCTTTCACAGCCTGCCCTCATTAAGCCTGGAATCTCCACAAGAGACAAGAGACACAGGCTACTTGTTCCCAAGCCAGCATCCTGATCACACCTCTCTATACTGTGAAGCCAGCTCTTAACCAGGCAGGCAGCCATTGCAGTGGAAGGTCTGTGGGCTTATGTGAGCCCAACACAGAAGCCATACAAGTCACTGAGCATCTGTGCCCTGCACCTGTGAATAGACAATAGAAAAACTTTCCTTACCATACATTGCTGGATTTCACTGGCTGATAGCTAAAGATTTTTGCTAACTATTCATGAGGGACATTTTCCTATAATTTTCTCTTTTTTCTTAACCATCACTTTTAAAATCAAGATTTATTTCCAGGTTTATCCTAGCTTTGCAAAACAAATTAGGAATTGTCCCCTGCTCCCTTATTTCCTGAAAGTGTGTGAGATTCGGCGAGTTTCATTCCTTAAACATTTGCTGGAATTTACCCATAAAGTCATCTGGGCCTGGATTGTTCTTTTGTTATATATACATATATATTAAATTAAATTAAATTAAATTAAATTCCCGTCTAAGAAATAGGGCTATTCCTATTTTATATTTAACCTGTTGTCAGTTTTGATCAATTGTTTTGCTAACAAGGAATTTTTCAATTTAATTTATCAAAATTATTGGCGTAAGGATGCCCACAAGAACCCCTCATTATTCTTTTAGTATCTACATGATCTATAGTGATAGCCCTCTTTCATGCTTGATGCTGATGATTAGTGTACTTTCTCTTCTTGATTAGTCTTGCTGGGGGTTGTACATTTCATTTCTCTTCTAAAAATATATGGCTTTGTTCATTTTCTCCATAGTTCGTTTGCTATTGCATTTTGTTCTGCTATTATCTCTGTTATTCTTTTTTTCTACTTATTTTGGGTTTACTTTGCTTTTCTTTTTCTCGCTTCTTTAGATGGACTATTAGGACATTGATTTTTATGCCTTTTTTCTTTCTGATATGATTTAAAGCGATAAATCTTCCTCTAATCATTTCTTTGGCGGCCTCCCACTAATTTTGATATTTTGTTTTTATTATCATTCAATTTCAAATACTTGTAAAGTTTCTTTGTGTTTTCTTCTTTAATACAAAGAAGAAAGTGTGATGTTGAATTTCCAAACATTTAGGGGCACATTATTGTTATTAATTTGTAATGGAACACCACTGTGAACTCAGATAACTTATTATGTAAGCCTTCACTTTTTCTAAATGTGTTGAGACTTGATTTTATGGCCCAGTATTTGATCTATCCAGATGAATGCCCTTGTAATGAATCTATAGTCTGCAGTTGCTGGCTATCGTGTTCTATAAATATAAATGAAGTAAAGATTGTTGATAATGTCATACAGATCTTCTGTATATTTACTGATTTTTTTTTTTTTTTTTTATCAATTGCTGAGGCCCTCTGGGTCTCTGGGTTTTTGGCACCCAACATGGCATCCTCTATAGCCCGCCCTCACACATGAACAAATATGCAGACAGGAAACTCAAATTCTACCAATTATTTGAGGAAGAAATAATGGCAACACTATGCAAACTCTTCTAGAAAAATGAAGAGGAAAGACTATTTCCAACTCAGTCAATGAGGTCAGCATTACCTTTATTATCGACTCTACACAAAGACATATGACAAGAAAAGTCCAGACCTAAATGCTTCATGAGCATCCACGCAAAAAATTCTAAACTAAATTTTAGCCAATTGAGTTCAACAAGATACAAAAATGATAGCATAACATGACTGAGTAGTTCACCACGAGAATGCAAGTTTCATTTAAACATTTGAAATTTTATCGATGAAATTCAGCATACTAACAAACTAAAAAATAAAACCCCTCTAATCTCTACCTTAGTCCATCTGTGCTGGTATAACAAAATATCACTGACTTGGTGGCTTATAAAGAACAGAAACTGATTCTGCAGTTCTGGAGGCTGGAAGTTCAAGATCGAGGTGAGGGGTCGCTTCCTGGTTCATAGCCAGAGCCTTTCTGTGCATGTCCTCACATGGTGAAGCATCTCTGGAGCCTCTTTAAAAGGGCATCAATCCTCCTGAGACCTCATTACTTCCCAAAGATCTCACCTTCTAATGCCTTTGGAGGTTAGGATTTCAACATATAAATTTTAGGGAGGGACACACTCAGACAGTAGCAATCTTCTCAATAGATGTAGAAAAAGCAGAATCTGACATCCATTCCTGATTTTTTAAAAATCACAGAAAATTAGGAATAGAAAGGAACTTCCTCAACCCGATAAAAGACATCTACAAAAAACCTACAGCTAACATCATCCTTAGCGGTGAAAGGCTGAGTGACTCCTCCCTCCCCCAAATCAAAACAAGACAAGGATGTCCACTCTTTCACTTTGTATTCAACACTCTACTGGAGGTTCAAGCCTGAGAAATTAGGCAAAGAAAAGAAACATCATGCAGATCAAAAAGGAAGAAGTAAACTATCTTTATTCACACATGACAAGATTGTCTATGTAGAAAATACATTGGAATCTACAGAACAGTTCCTATAACTAATATGTGAGTTTAGCAGGTTGCAGGACTTAAGTTCTATATAAACAAATCAATTGCATCTCTATATACTAGAAATGAACAATTCTAGATATTTTTTTAAAAATTTAAAACAATACCACTCACTATACCATCAAAATATGCAACATTTAAGAATAGATCTGGTAAAAGATATGAAAGACTTGTACATTGAAAACTACAAGACATTGCTGAGAGAAATTAAAGGACAAAATAAATGGAGAGAGAGAGACCTCATTCCTGGGTCAAAAGACTTAATATTGTTAAGATGTCAATACTCCCCAAATGGGCCTACAGAATATAATCCAGTCCCACTCAAAATCCCATCAGACATTTTTTTTTGGAAACTAAGGTGATTCTAAAATTTATATGGGAATTCAAAAAACCTAAACTGGTTAAAACAGCGCTGAAAATAGCAAAAGCTGTAGAACTTACACAAATTGATTTCAACAATTATTCTAAATCTACAGTAATAAAAAAAAAACTGCCTATTATTGGTGCAAAGATAGACAATACATCAACAGAACAGCATAGAGCCCTAAATACAAACATTTATGAACAACTGAACATTGACAAAGGCACAGAACAGTACAGTGGGGAATGATAGTCGTTTCAACAAATGATGCTGGAATAACTGGATATTCACATGCACAAAAATGAACTTTGACTCATATCTCCCACTACATCCAAAAATGGACTCAAAATGGATCAGAAATCTAAATAAACATAAAGCCTAAAACCATAAAACTTCTAAAAGCAAAGAAGATCCTTGTGACCTTGAATTAGACAAAGATGTCTTGGGTATGACACCAAAAAATATAATCCATAAAAGAACAGCTTGATAAATTTAGCTTCATCAAAACTTAGAATTTCTGTTCTTCAAAAGACACTACTAAGAGAATAAAAAGACATGCCACCAACTGGGAGAAAGTGTTTGCAAAGCAAATACCTAAAAAATCTCTTGTTTTAAGGATTAATAGAGAGTTCTTATAACTTAATAAGACAAGCAACTCAATAATAATAAAATGGGCAAAATGGTTAAGCAGATACTTCACTAAAAACAGCTAATGAGGATATGAAAATATGCACAACATCACTAGTCAAGGAAATCCATATTAAAACCATAATGAGGTTATACTATACACCTATTAGAGGCTAAAATTAAAAAAGCCTGACCATACCAAGTATTGACAAAAATGTGGAACAACTGGAACTCTCTTACACTGCTGGTGGGAATGTAAAATGGCACACCCACTATGCAAAAACAATTTGGTCATTTTAAAAAGTTAAACATACTTCTATACTATCAGCCATACCATTCCTCAATACTTACCCAAGATAAAAGGCAATATATGTCCCTATAAAGGCTTGTACACAAATATTCATAGCAGCTTTATTCACAGTTGTTCCAAACTGGAGATATCTCAAATGTCCATTAGCAAATGAATAAATAAACCCATTGTGGTACATTCATGCAATGAAATATTATTCAGCAATAGAAATGAATGAGCTGTTGGTACATGCAACAATGTGGATGAATCTCAAAATAATTTTGAGTGAAAGCCAGATTTTTAAAAAGCACTTATAATATTATTCCATCTATATATATAAAAGCCAAGTGACCGGAATAACTGGTTGCTATGATGCACACTATGATGGCCAACCAGCCCTATTGGAGCCCCAATTACCCCCCCCCCAACCTCCTGCAGCCCTTCCCCCCAGGTTAACATATGATAGCCTGGACATGTTTAAACTGTACAATCTGATAAGGTTTGACATGATACCATGACCACAACCAAGGCAACAAACATCCATTATTCTCAATGTTTGTAGTCCCTTTGTAGTTCCTCTCTCCTCTCTCTTCTTGCTTCTCTCTTTCTCAAGCAACCATTGATCTACCTTCTGTCACTAGCTGATTGCTGCCCCCTACTCTGAAGAGGGGCAAGACTAGCTGATCAACCTCCTGAGACCCCCTCTCACCAGCCCCACCCCTAAGCGGCCTCCCACCCTTATCAGGATGGGACTGGCCAACCTCTTGCATCCCCTCCCTCCCTCCCCATCCCCTGCCTGACCTGTCTGATCAGCCTCCATTGGAGCAGGCTGTCCGGACCCCACCTATGCATGAATTTGTGCACTAGGTTTCTAGTTTATATATAAAACTCTAGAAAATGCAAACTACCCTATAGTGACAGAAGGTAGATCAATGGTTGCTTGAGAAAGAGAGAAGCAAGAAGAGAGAGGA